AGATAGATAGATAGATAGATAGATAGATAGATAGATAGATAGATAGATAGATAGATAGATAGATAGATAGATAGATAGATAGATAGATAGATAGATAGATAGATAGATAGATAGATAGATAGATAGATAGATAGATAGATGCCAAACTAGCTACTTACAATTTCGACACTATACTGAGTTGACCCAGTGCCGCAGCAAGGTCACATCCTGCCCGGTGCAGAAAATTTGCTATACGCACCCCCCCCCTCCCCCCACTTTTCCATTTGTCCTAAATTTTGGCCATTTTGTTACCTCACCCTCAGGGATGACACCCTCTGCGACCCGCACCCCCACTTCCCCAAGCCCCTTACACCACCTACTTCCTACGCCACTGATTTGACCTCCAAACGCCAGGACTCACCTGCTGCAAGTGTTAATCCCAAGATTACCCACAATGAACTTCCAGTCAACCTGGTGTTACAAGGAATGAACGCAATGAACGGGTAAACTGGCTCACGTCCGCTCATGGTTATTTTGAGCTGTGATATATCTCACAGCTTGTAATTAGTAGCTACGGGTTTCTCTATCAGTGGCTTAGATGCTGGCCAATGCGGTTAAACAGCTTATAGATTCTGAAGTTCTATGGTTTGATTCATGAGGAGGGTTAAAAAAGGGGGAAGAGGGAAAGTATGATAGTTTTTGGTCAGTAGTCAGTGGGACCAGGGTCACAACGTGGAAGAGATTTGGGTCTCACTACATCATATTTCCAATGACACAAATGGTACACTGTGGCCAACCTGTGGTGTTATTGTGTGTTACTTCTCACCCCTACCCATCTCCACTAATTCCTACCTACCCCAATCGCCTGCAACAGTACGGGATCCCCATTCTACTCGTCCTACTCCTTCTTTCCAGTTACGCGACTTACCTGCCCTTACATACCCCACTTGGCCTCCACGCCCCGATATTGTCAGAGAACCTCCCTACTGCCAGCATCCAGGTAAATGGAGGAACGCCGCTGTAGCTACAGAGTCTCGTGCAGACGGCGACACAGGCGGACAGTTTCTTATCAGCTGTCTGTACTGATGGCAGAGCACTTATGGTTTATAACTGTGTGCAATGACGCTGGTTCACATCTCCAGACTTTACCTTTTACTGCCAGCATCCATATCTACGCGTCTGTGCTCCGATGCCAGACTGCCATCTATTGGCAGAGACATCTAAACTAAACATGACAAGAGAGGTAACTTGAAGAAGAACGAGGGATCTGGAAATGGACAAGATGAAAATGGGCAAGGTTGTACAGGACTGCACAGTCACATACCAAGATAGTAAAAAAGCTAGCAAACCCAAGTAAAGAAGTGAGGGGACTCACAGAACAAGAAGCAAAACATAAAACCATGACAACGGGCTCAAGGACACTGCTAGGTAATATGTGTTTCTGGTGTTGTTGATTGGTCAGCTTTTTGTCTTTCCAGGCGACAGCGTTATATAGTGCTAGAGGGAGGCTGAAAATGTATTTGGAAGCAGCAAGTAAGTTTTACCCCACCAGGACATTACACTGAGCGATAAACACCCGGTGACACAAAGTGCCAACATGCGGATGAGGATCACACGTAGAGAGGTCCCAGAAACCCCGTTCGACCCATAGATTGTGTTATATTAGGGCTCCCAGCAACAGCCAGGGTAAGGCTTCAATTTAACGAAAAATTACGTCAGATGTAGGGACGAATCACTCAATGAATTTGGAAGTAGCCGAGATATGGTTTTATAGACGCAGGATGTGCGTTAGATATTCTCAGTATAATGCAAGTCTTCGAAATGCCGCGCCTTAAATTTTCAAACTTATTTCGATTTCAATGCGTTTGTCACTCCTTACCTGTAGCCTGAATTGGCCGCCTCTCCGTGTCATAACACGACACTATCCTGTACAGACGAATGATAAGAATACACTAGGAAGATAACAAGAGTTACATCTCTAAATAAATTGGCCCACGACAAGATTTGATTACCTACATCAGAATTTAAAAATAACAAAGTGAAGGACCCTGTTTGGGGTCGTTAAAAGCTTCAGAAAGCCGGGAAACCAAGTCTTACCACCCTCTAAAATGTTGGACTGTCCTGCGACGTCATCTGGGGGTAAGATATTAATAAAGAACCCCATTTTAAATTTTCTGATAATAGCCTGTGTAATTTAAAACAGTGGGGTCTCAGGTTTTGTTTAGTTTAGGACCTCATCAAGTCTAAACAAGTTTTGGACATCATCAAGTCTAAACAAGTTTTGGACCTCATCAAGTCTAAACAAGTTTTGGACCTCATCAAATCTAAACAAGTGTAGGATCTCATCACGTCTAAACAAGTTTAGGACCTCATCAAATCTAAACAAGTTTAGGACCTCATCAAGTGTAAACAAGTTTAGGACCTCATCAAGTGTAAACAAGTTTAGGACTTCATCAAGTCTAAACAAGTTTAGGACCTCATCAAGTCTAAACAAGTTTAGGACTTCATCAAGTCTAAAATTTAGGACCTCATCAAGTCTAAACAAGTTTAGGACTTCGTCTAAACAGCCCTGCCCATATAGCCTGATCTCTTTCAAGGCAGGCCGATGCATTATCTCAACGGATAATTTGTTTGTTTATTCCATGTTTTCTTGCAAATAAATAGCCTGCAACCAGCTTGACCGGCGGATTGGTTTCCCTGCAGTCTGCTAAACAAGACATGTTTACAGTGCCACATGACACACACACAAATGATCATCTTGTTTCGCAGTAGAATTTTATTAACTTTGTTATTTTATTGTATATTTTTTAAGCGATTTTTCTTTATCTACAGACCAACAGGAAGAAACAAAGACATAGACATGCATTTAAAAGTTGTTAAAAAAAAAAAAAAAAAAAAATAAAACGCAGAACCACATACACTTGGACACCAAAGTTTTAATCTGTTTCGTTTAAAATCTTTATTCATACTGTAACGTTATTTATAAACACAACTGTTACTGCCAATTTCGCTGATTCATAACTAAAATCTAACGTGCTTCATCTTCTTCTTTTGTCGTCTCACAGATACCAGGTTGTAGCCCAATGTCGTGGTTTTCTGTATTTGTCTTGTGCTTCTAGAGTCGCTTGGGTGAAGAATTTTGTTCATCTTCTTATACGTTTCAGCTACACCGTTTATTCATCTCTTTCTCAGTTGTCCTCACACCTTCCTCCCTGATGTTCTGCTGTAGAAAAGTCTCATATGCAATTTGCTCTAGCTGATCTTTACTAGACGGCCGAATCATTTCAATCTTTGCCTGTCAATATAATTCAGACACCGTCTTTCCCAATTTTCTTGATAGATAGATAGATAGATAGATAGATAGATAGATAGATAGATAGATAGATAGATAGATAGAGATAGATAGATAGATAGATAGATAGATAGATAGATAGATAGAGAGAGAGAGAGAGAGAGAGAGAGAGAGAGAGATAGATAGATAGATAGATAGATAGATAGATAGATAGATAGATAGATAGATAGATAGATAGATAGATAGATAGATAGATAGATAGATAGATAGATAGATAGATAGATAGATAGATAGATAGATAGATAGATAGATAGATAGATAGATAGATAGATAGATAGATAGATAGATAGATAGATAGATAGATAGATAGATAGATAGATAGATAGATAGATAGATAGATATGATAGATAGAATAGATAGATAGATAGATAGATAGATAGATAGATAGATAGATAGATAGATAGATAGATAGATAGATAGATAGATAGATAGATAGATAGATAGATAGATAGATAGATAGATAGATAGATAGATAGATAGATAGATAGATAGATAGATAGATAGATAGATAGATAGATAGATAGATAGATAGATAGATAGATAGATAGATAGATAGATAGATAGATAGATAGATAGATAGATAGATAGATAGATAGATAGATAGATAGATAGATAGATAGATAGATAGATAGATAGATAGATAGATAGATATAGATAGATATAGATAGATAGATAGATAGATAGATAGATAGATAGATAGATAGATAGATAGATAGATAGATAGATAGATAGATAGATAGATAGATAGATAGATAGATAGATAGATAGATAGATAGATAGATAGATAGATAGATAGATAGATAGATAGATAGATAGACAGACAGACAGAGAGAGAGAGAGAGAGAGAGAGAGAGAGAGAGAGAGAGAGGGAGAAATGGAGAGATAAACATCATCACTAAACTTATGGGTATACTACTTCAACAGGGGCCACCTGTCAATCCTTGTAGCTGACAAGTATGTTATCTAGGTTTTTTGTTTCGTTAATAAAGACTTCTTGACTAAACTTTAGATAAAGCTGTCACTACTGTTTATATGTACCACTTTCTAGGGCTGAGTAAAAAAGAAGGTTGGGGGGGGGGGTATCTTGAATCATAAGACGGTTAGTGCCGTCGCCACGGACTGTGCAGGTTAGGATATTAAATTTTACCACCGACAGAAAAACCCTATCACCTTCTCTAAAACGGGTCTCTTGCGCAAGAGCCTAACGTTGTTACAGGTCAACCAGCAGCTTCTCTAAACAAACATAAGATACGAAAAACATGTAATATATTGAATGGTACACGACCTCTGTGGGTTCCGGGGCCATTTTGTGGGAGAAAAAAAAAAGACCAACTGCCTTCCCAAGAAGCATGTCGTAAGAGTCGACTAACTGGGTGCTTATTTCGAAGTCGGAGCGCATCTGCCTGAGAGACAAGGAACCAACAGTCTGCATATAAAAAAAAGTTAGTTCTGTAAAACGGATGTGTCCACAACACCTAGGTTCTGGAACAAAACTAAAGTCCAGAGATGGACGTACAACCAGTATTTTCCCCCTGGGGTTTACAGCCGGGAACATGAGGAACAAGAACGGTACATATAAATAACATCCAATCATACACAGTGCGTTGCTAGGGACCAACAAGAGTTAAACACAACATCAACACACTTGAAAAATGAAACAGTCTCAAGCTCAGAACTCTTGGAAGGACTGGTTAAGAAGATCTTGTTCCGGGTTTAAGTGATACTTGATCTCGTTTTTCTCCACTGAAACGAAAAGAACATATAAAAAGTATATTTACATATACACACATATACACACATATACATAGTAAAACAAAAAAGTAAAGATCCCTTTTCACGCCTTAGGCGCATCAGGTATATGGGAAGAGAATCCCATATTTTTACAGACAAATCGGCACTGGATGGGTAATGTACATACAGAATGTTTATAAAGTCTCAATAAACTTTGTGAGTAGAACAAATCGGCGAAACGTCATCAGCAAATGTGTTCTACAGACTATCGCGAAGCAATATCCAGTGAATGGCTGGCTGTCGTCTGCAGGAGTAATTCTATGCACTCAAAAAACAATGGTCTATCAACAAAAGAAATAGTTTTTATTGTTGAGCAAGTGTTTCGAAAAAGGGGATGGTTATTCAAAGCGTAGCCATACTAAAGTTTGGCTATGTTCAAAGCAAGCAATATTAGGAAGAACTTGGAGAAATACGACGACATAAATGAAAGTGTAAAATAAAAAAACTAAAAAAAACTATCACTAACAAAAGGTAATTTAGAGTTCAAATATAAAAGTAACGCTTGAGACTGTTTTGTTTTCATGATAGAAACTATTCTCTGGGTCTAATGTTGGGAAAGTCACAAAGAAGACACCTCTCTTTATCAAAACATTTAATTTATAAACATACTGTTAATCTTGTTAGTATAACAAATTAGTGCAAGTACAAATATACTCGGTTCACAAACTGGTTCTATCTCAATATCTCCCCCCAAACAGACAGTCAAATATTTTAAGGGGTGATATATAGGCTGCATGCAGTTTTGGGGCCTAGGCTGCACTCTCTCGTAGAACGTAGGTGGGTTGGGGTTAGGCCCAGTTCTAAATGTTTTGGGGTAGTAAAAAGCATCAGAAAGCCGGGAAACCCGCTCTTACCACCCTTGAAAATATTGGACTGTCCCGTGACGTCATCCTGGGTGGGTTTGGCAGGGGGGGGGGGTGTGGGGGAGATATCCGGAAAGCACCCACAAATCTCTTGACACCCCTTAAAGCTTCCTTGCGCCTCCTGGGAGCAGGACGCCCACAGGTTAAAAACAATTACTCTAGACCTGCCTGCCCTACACATCCCTAATATTGGCACTGCATGCAGTAAAGGCAGTTTGAAAAAAGTCCTTTGTCTTCTCATTTCTTTTTTTCCCACCAAGTTTGCTAGCTGTCAGCAAGTGATATGTTTCATGCAAAAACGAACTATAATCAGGGTTCTTTCATGGCATATTGCTTTTTTTTTCTCCAGCCACTTTTCATTCACTCATTCATTCATTCGTCATATTGTGCAGTTCTGTGTTAAGCAGGATTTGTCGTCTATTTCTCCAGCCTGTTGTATCCTATGCGATCACTTTGATATCATAGGTAGAATACAGTCAAGCACCTTTTGGTTGATTTGATTTGATTTGATTCAAGAACCGACATCAAAGCCCTCGGGGCATTCCCATAAGCGCTCCGCCCCCATCTTCAGCAGCTCTGATACTAATGGTACCAGTAGCATTCTGATTAAACGTCCGTCTTGCCTTTCCTCTGAGCCTCGAGTATCTACCAGATCCTCTCATCACTCCCAACTGCATCAGTCTCACCACACTGTGGTGATCAATCTGCTCCTCCGCACTGTACAAACTCTCCCACAAGGCGATAACCACGTCTGCCTTATCATGCATTAGTATTCCACCAAGCTGTGCAGAGCTCTGGTTTCTCTCATCAACGTTCACCTTGCGTGTTCTCTTGGATTTCCTTGTTTCCTCAGTCCATCTACTTCCCATTTCAGTGAATGTTTGGTGACTCTCTATTCGTTTCTTCTCAGGATGTGTCCAGTATAGCGCCATCTTCTCTGTCTTATAACTGTTGATTATGGTGGCTGATCAGACATGGTTGCCACTTAGCGTGGCTGGTTTGAGAGTGGCTTTAAAATGCGGGTGGAATTCCGTTAGTTCAGTGGGTCCCCGTGTGAGTTTCGGGACCCCATTAAGCGGGGGAGGGGGGGGGGATATACCTGTTGCCCTCCCAACAAGCATGTCGTAGAAGGACAAATCTTTAAAGCGAAAAAGCACGCAAAACTCAAATTCTGAAACAAGACCAAAGTCCAGAAGTGGACAAACAACCAGAATCTTCCACCAGAGTTTACAACTGTTGAATTTCAAGCAGAAGGGGAAGTATAGAGTCCTCATTTTGCTGGCGTTTTGAAATTTTTGCGTACAGATGGTCACACTACGATGTTTGAAATGCTGGTGTAGAACTCACATTAACTATGTCAGTTGAAGTGTGTCAATCAGATAACTATTCGCTTATTGCGCCCCGCCTCGCCCCACCTTGCCTCGCCCCGCCTCTTAATGACATGTTTGTAATGATTCTTGGGCCTTTTCCGATGTTAATAATTATACCGCCATTGCTACTTTAACTACGTTTGTTTTGTAATGGTATTATTGTACTCATAAAAAAAGTTAATTGCGTATCCTTTACAGGACGTTGCAGGACCAACCCTAACAGCCCCTGGCTGTTGTGTGGTTTCTCTAGGCAATTTACATCCAGTAGTTTGCCATTGCTTCTGGACTGTCGGCTTTCTTGATACCACTATCGAAACCAACGCAAGGCGCATTGCCCGCAGCTGGAATCGAACCTGGTATCCCGGCATTACGAAGCGAGGCGTTCGCATCGACTTAGCCACAGAGCCGACGTTGTAACCATAGTACATTTGAAAATCTTCAATATGGTCCTTTCATTACAACAAAATAAACAGATATCTTACAAAATTACATAGTAAACACGTATCTTACCACGATTACATAGTAAACAGTTATCTTACCAAGATAACACAGTAAACAGTTATCTTACCAAGATAACATAGGAAACAGTTATCTTACCAAGATAACATAGGAAACAGTTATCTTACCAAGATAACATAGGAAACAGTTATCTTACCAAGATAACACAGTAAACAGTTATCTTACCAAGATAACATAGGAAACAGTTATCTTACCAAGATAACACAGTAAACAGTTATCTTACCAAGATAACACAGTAAACAGTTATCTTACCAAGATAACACAGTAAACAGTTATCTTACCACGATTACATAGTAAACAGTTATCTTACCAAGATAACACAGTAAACAGTTATCTTACCAAGATAACACAGTAAACAGTTATCTAACCACGATTACATAGTAAACAGTTATCTTACCAAGATAACATAGTAAACAGTTATCTTACCAAGATAACACAGTAAACAGTTATCTTACCAAGATAACATAGTAAACAGTTATCTTACCAAGATAACATAGGAAACAGTTATCTTACCAAGATAACACAGTAAACAGTTATCTTACCAAGATAACATAGGAAACAGTTATCTTACCAAGATAACACAGTAAACAGTTATCTTACCAAGATAACATAGTAAACAGTTATTTTACCAAGATAACACAGTAAACAGTTATCTTACCAAGATAACACAGTAAACAGTTATCTTACCAAGATAACATAGGAAACAGTTATCTTACCAAGATAACACAGTAAAAAGTTATCTTACCAAGATAACATAGGAAACAGTTATCTTACCAAGATAACACAGTAAACAGTTATCTTACCAAGATAACATAGGAAACAGTTATCTTACCAAGATAACATAGGAAACAGTTATCTTACCAAGATAACACAGTTAACAGTTATCTTACCAAGATAACATAGGAAACAGTTATCTTACCAAGATAACATAGTAAACAGTTATCTTACCAAGATAACACAGTAAACAGTTATCTTACCAAGATAACACAGTAAACAGTTATCTTACCAAGATAACATAGGAAACAGTTATCTTACCAAGATAACATAGTAAACAGTTATCTTACCAAGATAACACAGTAAACAGTTATCTTACCAAGATAACACAGTAAACAGTTATCTAGCAAGATAACCAAGTTTATAACAAGACAACACAAGTAAACAGTTATCTTGACCAAGATAACCATAGGAAACAGTTAGCTTATGGATAACACAGTAAACAGTTATCTTACCAAGATAACACAGTAAACAGTTATCTTACCAAGATAACATAGGTAAACAGTTATCTTACAAAGATAACATAGTAAACAGTTTATCTTACCAAGATAACACAGTAAACAGTTTATCTTACCAAGATAAACACAGTAAAAACAGTTATCTTACCAAGATAACACAGTAAACAGTTATCTTACCAAGATTACATAGTAAAAACAGTTATCTTACCAAGATAACATTAGTAAAACAGTTATCTTACCAAGATAACACAGTAAACAGTTATCTTACCAAGATACATAGTAAAACAGTTATCTTACCAAGATAACATAGTAAAACAGTTATCTTACAAGATAACACAGTAAACAGTATCTTACCAAGAACAAACACAGTAACAGTTATCTTACCAAGATCAACATAGTAAACAGTTAGCTTACCAAAGATAACACAGTAAACATTATTTCTTACCAAGATAACAGCAGTAAACAGTTATCTTACCAAGATAACATAGTAAAAACAGTTATCTTACCAAGATAACACAGTAAACCAGTTATCCTTACCAAGATAACACAGTAAACAGTTTCTTACCAAGATAACATAGTAAACAGTTATCTTACCAAGATAACAACAGTAAACCCAGTTATCTTACCAAGAAAACATAGTAAAAACAGTTATCTTACCAAGATAACACAGTAAAACAGTTATCTTAAACCAGGATAACATAGTAAACAGTTATCTTACCACGATAACATAGTAAACAGTTATTCTTACCAAGATAACACAGTAAACATTAAACAGTTTCTTACCAAGATAACATAGGAAACAGTTATCTTACCAGATAAACACAGTAAACGGTTATTCCATCAAAGATAACATAGGAAAACATATTCTTTACCAAGATAAACAATAGGAAAAACAGTTATCTTAACCCAGATTAAAACACAGTCAAAACAGTTATCTTACCCAGGGATAACATAGGAAACAGGTTAATCTTACCAAGATAACATAGGAAACAGGTTATCTTACCAAGATAACATTAGGAAAACAGTTCTCCTTACGCAAGATTAACATAGGAACACAAAAGGTTATCTTAACAAGATAACATATAGAAACAGTTATCTTCACAAAGATAACATAGGGAAACAGTTTATCTTACCCAGATAACCATTAGTCAACCAGTTAATTCTTACCAAGGATAAAATAGTAAACAAGTTATCTTACCAAGATAACATAGTAAACAGGTATCTTACCAAGATAACATAGGAAACAGTTATCTTTACCAAGAAAACATATAAACGAGTTATCTTACTAAGGTAACAGACAAAAGAGTTATCTAACCAAGATAACTTAATAAACTGTTATCTCATTAAGATAATATACTAAACAGTTATTTTTACCGAGACAACAATAAACAGTTAGCATACCAAAATATCACAGTAAATAACTGCCTTACCAAGATAACTTATTAAACAGGTATCTCACGAAGACAGTAAACAGTTATATTTACCAAGATAACAGTCTCTGTTTATCTTACTAAGATGTCATGTTAAACAGCTATCTTACCAAGATAACACAAACATCAAATCAAGGATTGAGTTTTAGACGAAACAATACTCACATGGATATGTATTCCGAGGAAAATTGCTCTTTACAACTACAATGATGATAACGATGGCAATTAAGATGAACAAGATGCCACAGAGGAGGCCGACCCACCACAACGATATGTTTTCTGTCCCAGCATCAATGAGGTTTTCCGGATTAGAAGCTGGGAAAAAAAAACACACACGCCGGACTAAGGAAATAAGCAATAGCTGAGATGAGTCCAGAATTGACATCACAGCACTCGGGACATTCATATGCATGCTCCGTCCTCATCTTCAGCAGCCAGTTCCAGTACTAATGGTACTGGTCACAATCTGGTTATATGTCCGTCTTGCCTTCCCACTGAGCGTAATGAGCCGGCCACACTCAAACAGGTATTCTCTTCTGTTATCTTATCATGATAAGGTTTATTCAATAATATTGAAAGGGCACGACTTCCTATTATCTTCTTCTCAAAGTCCATGTCGTGTGGCGTTGGTAGTCATGTCTATCCTCAACCTTTTGTCTCGTGTACTTTCAATCAACTCTGGCACAAATGATCCTTCATGCCATGATGTCGAACTATCTAGCATCTTTCATCTCGGTGTCCCTCTGCCTCTCCCCCCCCCCCCATTTTCCAACTTTCTTATTGTCACGATGTACTCCTATTATACATGCGGAACAACTCAGTCAGAGAATGTTAGTTTTCACTGTTATTGTTATTTGTAGTGACATATAAAGAGATCGAATAGCATTAAAAACCAGCAAGGAAATCACCAGCAAGGAAAACAAAGTTAAAATATTGAGAGCATGCATCTTCCCTGTGGCAACATACGGATGTGAGTCGTGGACTATATCCTAGTCCATTAACAAAGACAATAGGCGCTTTTGAGATGAAGTGTTATAGGAAGTTTCTCAAAACACCATGGGCAAAGACAAGAAGAAATGCTGACATTTTAAAATATCCTAATATCAAGGAAGATTGGCTAATAAACAGCACCTTGCTTCGGAAGTTGAAATATTTTGGTCATATCAAGCACCATGGAGGAATGAAAAAATAAATAAAAGCAGAAGACATGCTACAAGGAAGAAGGGGCAGGGGCGTACCGGTGTGAAGATGGGACAGGAAATAAGTTACTCAATGAATATGGAAGTTTCACAAGGTAGGAGAGCTGGCGAGAGACACAGTTTCTTTTAGGCAGCCCGTGATAGAAGCGACATTTTGCAAAGAAAACCTGACATATCAATGATGATGAGTGAACAATATTCGTGGTTGCTTCCCATCTTATCTTTCCACCCTTAAAAGGACGGCTGGTACACGTTGAATGTTGTAGTAGTTACAGAGCAGATGAGAAATCTGAGCACGTGATTACCAACAACGATTGTTGTGTTGTATTCTTCTTATACTTTTAACTGATGCCATGCTTCGTTTGTATTCATGTGAGTCTCGTGTACTTTCAATCAACTCTGACATAGAAGATCTTCCATGGCATGATGTCTAACTGTCCAGCATCTTATTTCTTGCTCCCTCTATGCTTCTTTCCCCCTCCAACTCCCTTCACCTCCTTTCACAATGTACTCTAGTCCCCTCCCGACATGACCAAAAAATGAAGATTGTTTCCTTCTTTTGATGTGGGAAATCAGTTCTCTTCGTGAGTCAGTTTCTTTCAAGACATCTTTTAGTCCTTGTTTTATCAGTTCAGCATGCTCTCATCATGTAATTACAAAACTAGATCTTCGTTGCTTACACACATTATGTAACTTATCGGCTTACTGTCCACGGTTTACTTCCGTATATCAAGATATGATTTATATAAAGTTAAAAAAAAAGTGAAGGACCATTTTCCACTCTTTGTAAAAACGGTCTTGGGTTCTTGTCTATTGTCCACATTAGCCTCACTAGAGTAGGTGGGGGGTAAGGTCGCAAGTTTTTCTATCATGGGCCAGAGTGTGTTGCATCGTGTTTGTGGTTAGGTCCGTGTTGCCTCAGGATCTGTGATATATGGTCTATCCATGCGTACTCTCGGTCTCTGCCTTCTTGCTCTAGGGCAGTTAGTGCTGTGTTCGTTTGTCTGCTTCGTAGAGGCAGTTGCGTCAGGTTTGCATTCCGCATTCCAAGTAGCCAAAAAACCCACTCTATTTGGTTGTTTCTTTATGTATGGCAGGGCATTGCGTGGTTCCTACAATTGATCTAATTAGTTCTCGTTTTCGAACTCTGTCTTCTCCTGGTGACATTGACAGCCTTACGTAAGCATCTCATTTCGCACGTCGTGATCTTTTTCTCCTTGCTCTTGTTAGGGACCAGGTTCTTGGCCATTAGTAGCAGAGGGTTGATATAAAAACATGCAATTTATCAGTTTGTCTCGTTTTAGTGCCATAGTGGGATGCTTGGGGGTTTTGTTTTTTTTAAGCAGTGGGGAGAGTTGGTAAGGTTACTGAGTTCGCCTTTTGACATCTTGCCTCAAGTTCCCTATCAATTCTTCCATCATATGTGAAGATGCTCCCCAAGTATTTAAATTGCTGCACTTGTTTGAGTTATTCGTTGTTAACTTGAATAGTTAGTATATTAGGTGTTCTACTTATTTTCAGAATTTCTGTTTTGGTGATGCTGATCTTCATGTTATATTCGTTGCAGACTGTGTGTAGCGCATTTACGTGGATTTGAAGTTCTTTTTCGTTTTCATGTATTATGGTTTGGTCGTCTGCGAAAAGTAGACGGTATAGTGCATAAAGGCCTAGACCTATATTTTACAGACCAATCAGCACAAGATGGGTGATGTGGTCAGCATCACGTCGGCCGCCTTTGCTTCCCGGGACTGCAGCCGGTACCCACTCAAGGCTGTGTCGACCAGTCAAGGTCATTTTGGAAAAAAAGTCGGGCTCAGCCAGGGAGCGAACCCACGACTTTCTGATCAGCAGGCGAGCATCTAGCCGCTCCGCCACGGCGACTCCCTATAATTTATTTAGCTCTTGAAAATTCTATTTTTCATTTCAGTCAACAAAGAAAGATTGCATATAATATTTTACATTTAATAAACTGTTGCCTTTGCTCAAACAATTCTAAATTAACCTACCTTAATACATCTTCCACTTGCTGTTATCAGCGTACACAAGTACGTAAACATACAATTTCACGAAGCCCGTAACAAATTGGATTGTATGTCATGCTTGTTTACTCCTTCCGTGCCAGACGATTTTCCATAAGATGCCAAAGGAAAGATTAACCATGAGGGACAATCCTGAATTCATTATTGATAAAGTGGCAATATACGCATTTGCTTCCGGCCGGACATCTTTAGCAGGTTCTTGGAAAATTGTACAGGAAAAAAGAGCCCATTATGTACTTACAAAACGTACATATCAGTTTATTAGGGCCGAAAGAGGTATGCGGCAGTCGTGGTGCCCCTGAGCCTAAAAGTGGGATATATATCCCAAAAGACAGAAGTGGGTGCACAAAGCCACTGCGGCCAACGTTCATTATGGATACGGTACAAAATCTATTTTTTAAAGGTTTAAAGTGTAGAGGATAGACTTTATTGGCCCTACTTTGTTTCTTTAAAAAATTTCCATAAGGCTCAGTGTCTCTCCGCAGACCTGCTAGCTTGCCAGTGAGAGTGTCACATAAAGCACAAACCTGATATCTCCAGAGACTAACCCAGGAATCTGCGCAAAAAATGGTCCACGAGAACAGATGACTCAGCCAGCAGAACGAACACACTACCTCCAGAGCGTGAGGCAATCGGCTAAGTGACACATTGTGCTGTCCACCTTTCCCTTCCTCTGAGCGGTGAGTGTCGGTCAGAGAGAGAGAAAGAGAGAGAAAGAGATAGATAGATAGATAGATAGATAGATAGATAGATAGATAGATAGATAGATAGATAGATAGATAGATAGATAGATAGATAGATAGATAGATAGATAGATAGATAGATAGATAGATAGATAGATAGATAGATAGATAGATAGATAGATATATAGATAGATAGATATATATATATATATATATATATATATATATATATATATATATATATATATATATATATATAGAGAGAGAGAGAGAGAGAGAGAGAGAGAGAGAGAGCACGAAGAAAAAGCAGATAAATCGGAAAACGGCGATTGAACGCGACTTTATTTCCCACACTGACTCACCTGTCATTGAAATCACAAAACTGACAACTGTATCCTGATAGTTATCCGAAATCCGGCAGCTATAGTTACCAAGTCTGGATGATAGGGTGTTGTTGTCCACAGTGGAGGGGTCAAACATGATATCTCCGCTACTGTCCCTCCTAAGAGTGCAAATCAAACAATATATTAACTCAAAGCACTGTTTGCTTGTTGTAAATGTGAAAAGGGGAAGGAAACTGGAGGGAGGGGAGGGGAGCTGTGCAATCTATTGCCGTCCATATTTCGAGGTATCTCGTCAGGTGTATACTGCAGTAGCAATTCAATATAATGAAGTAGGTAAATAGACCTTCTACAACATCGTAATTATCATGAAGCAAGTACTGTGCAGAACGTCGCTCTTTTCACGGTCTACCTCAGAGAAACCCGATCTCTCGACAGCTCTCTCGTCTAGTGAAAATTAATATCCAAGTGGTTACTTATATCGTGTGCCCATCTTCGAATTGGTCGGCCTCTGCCCCTCCTTCATGGTTTTATGTTTGCCGCTCTTTTTTTTTCTTTCCCAGTCAGCCATGACAGTTGATATGGCCAAAATATTTCAGCTTTCGAGACAAGAAGTTGTTAATTAGCGAATCCTCCTTGATGTTCAGATCTTTTAGAGTGTCAGTATTTTTCTCTCTTCATTTTCCACTGTATTATGAGAATCGTTCTATTGCATTTTAGCCCAAAAGCGCATATTTCCTTCCACAAAGACTGTGAGATGGTCCTGGACTCACATCCGTATGTTGCTACAAGGAAGATGCACATTCTCAAAATTTTAACTTTGATTTCCTTGCTGGTTCTCAATCACAGACTGTACATGCTATTCAATCTTTGTATTACTATGACCATCCTCATTTTGAATTCTATCGAACACTCTCCAGTGCTTTTTATTATGCATTCGAAAATCGCACTTAACCTCCCTCACCTGGATCTACACACCTGGTTATGGGGGCGTGAAGGGAAATGAGCGAGCGGACCAACTGGCAAGCATTGCACTAAGGCATGTGGGAAGAAACATGGACAGAGCAGATATCGTCAAGCTGTACGGACTGGGCTAGTGGATGATGACGAATCCCTGACACTAATCCGATTACGTGACATTGGAGAAAAGCATGACGAAGCACGTCTATGCCGTTTTGGAAGTCGAGATAAGAGACAATATAACCAGCTTCTGATGGTAACAATTAGTAGAAGTACTTTGGAGTGGCTGCTGCATCGGTTGACTGAGCACGCATGGGAATGCCCAATGTGCAGTGACGTCGATTGTGATAACATAACATAACATAACATATTTATTATGGAGCCTAGATATTCACAATTTGGGAAGTTTCAATTTCTTCATCATTTCTCATTATTTTGTGTTTATAGCACGTTTTGTCGGTGGACATAAAATTCGTTTGAAATTCAAGAACAGTTTTTGATTTCGTAACTGTGTTTTTGAACAGAAATGGTTAAATGTACTATTCACATTACAATGTTCGAAAGGAGGACTTATGTCCAGTGCACAGCAAAGTTCCAGAATAGGGACACCATCCTTGACCGGTTTATAACCATCACAAGTTTTAATTTTTGACATCTGCCTGAGTCCCTTTAGCATATCGAACCAATCCAACGTTCTCCAGCCTACTCAACTGAAATACAAAATCAGCCAATCTCATAAGCAAATGCCTTTTTGTTTGTGTTCATCCGAAAGCTCCACATTAGTCTTTCTATCATACAATTTAATTCCACCTGGTAATGAACTGGCTGGCAGAATAGCAGCTAATGCAGCCTCTTTGGGCGGTGAGCTCCTAAGTGATAGTGAGGACTTGCTTTAGGCTCTCTAGCGTCAAGTTAACAATGCAGCAGAGCAGACACAGACAGCATAAGAGGCGAACTTTTAGTCAGGGTACCGCTGGCACCATCAGTAAGAGAACTCTTCATTGACTAAAGATAAATGTGACATCCCCATGCGGAATCCGGGGTCCCATTTAAGAGGAGGAAAAAAAAAGGGGGGGATGGGGGGGGGGTGGGGACAAGACTGGACCCACTGCCTATCATGTCGAAACAGTCGACTAATTGGGAGCTTCCTACGAAGTAGAAATATGTCTGTCCGAGCAGCAAGGAACAAACAACTGCACACAAATAGGCTAGTAAAACGGATGTACACGCAAAACTCAGGCTCTGGCATAATGCCGAATTGCAAATGTATGAATAACCAGGACTTCCCGCCGGAGTTTGCAAACGGTGAACAAAGAAGTATGTGATGGAGCATGCATGTGAATATCCTGAGCGCAATAATGTCAACTCTTGATTCTTTTTCTTCTTCTTCTTCTTCTTCGCATTCACCAGCAGTTAACTCCGGCGAAACGTTATGGTTGTTCGTTCACGTCTTGACTGTAGACGCGTTCCAGAACCCGAGTGTTGCCCGCATCGTTTTACAGATGTGACTAATTTGTATGCAGACTAATAGTTCACTGCCTCTCAGGCAGAAGCATTTCGACTTCAAAGAAAGCTCCCAATTAGTCGACTGTTACCAAATGACTTTGGATAGGCAACGGGTCTATTCTTTATTTTACTACAATAGAGTCCCGGACAACTCTTGATTGATTGATTGATTAATTGGATTGATTGATTCATTTATTCATTCACAATTTTTTCTGCACATTTTCTTATTTCTTCTTGTTTTCTCGACTACTGGGAATGCCACGCGGCAGATCCCTGGAACGGGCCCTTTTGTTTACTCTGTATAAAATACTTTTCAGTGCTTCCGATATTTCCGCGGTCCATATTATGCGTGGTCGACCTCTGGCTATGTTACTGCTGTATCTGTATAACATTGCTCTCCATGGTGCCCTGTCTGATGACAATCTTGTTACATGACCAAACCATTTGGTTTGTTGTCCACCTATGAAGTTCAGTTTCATTTTCTGCACAACACCAATGCGTGGTTTATCAATAACACGACATCAAGTTAAATGACTTACGAAAAAGGAGGATTCAGAAATTCATCTTCCAAAATCGCCGAACCATTGAACTGCCATTTGTATTCGATACTACAGCAGGAATCTCCCTGTGCTTTGACTGTGATGTTGATCGGCCCGCTGTTTTGCGATGCAATAATATGGGCCTCTGGGCGCTGTGTGACTTTGAGAGCATCTAAGATAGAACCAAAATGATTTAACTTGAGATGAAAGACATCCCTGTCTGCATAGCAAAACTGGTAAACAGAGGCAGTGCTGGCAGTCTTATGGTAGACATACATGGATTCCGTAAAAGCTTAAGAGACACAAATCACACACACACAAACACATATATCGTATATAAATAGTAAGTAAAGGTCCCCTTTTTACGTCTTTAGAGTATTGGGTATATAGGGCTAGACCTAAATTTTATAGACCCAGCGGCACTTAGGAGGTGATTTGGTCGACATCACGTCGGCCGTCTTTACTTCCCAGGACTGCACCTGGTGCACATTCAAGGTCGACCTGGAAGTCAGGGTCATATCTGAAAAATGTTCGGCTTGGTAAGGATCCGAACCAACAACCTTCCGATCCACAGACGAGAGTCTAGTCGCTACATCGTATTTATATTTACATAACAAAATATTTATGTGTGTGTTCGCACTCGCGAGTTTGTGTGCACATGCACCCCCACAGATACACATACATACAGAATACACATTTTCATACACACATATACATACAATTCATACATACACACAGAAATAGATACATACATACATATGCGCTCACACATTCATACATAATGATACACACATACATACATACACACATAATTACACACATACAAAATTCATACATAATACACACACATATACAAAACATACATATACACACACACACACACACACACACACACACATATATATATATATATATATATATATATATATATATATATATATATATATATATATATATATATATAAAAGGTATAGCTTATAAGATATAAAGCAAATTATATATATATATATATATATATATATATATATATATATATATATATATATATATATATAAAAACTTAATAAGGACATATGCATTTAGGTGTGCCATGCCAACTGGCGTAGGTGCTCATGCGTCTCCACAGATCACGATCCCAGGTTGCCTGGAACAGCTCTCCTGATGATATCCCTCCATGCCATTGTTTCAGCCCATCCAGCATCAGATCTCTTGGTCTGCCTCTACCCGTCTTTCCACTGATCTTTTCCAGTTTTCACGATGTTCTCTAATGTCTCTCTTCTCATTATGTGGCCAAAGAACAGTGTTTGTCCCTTTCTTTTTGTTGTATATAGAGATCTACTTTCATTAGCCTCTTTCAAGCAATCGTTGTTAGTTACTGTGGCCGTCCAAGGTATTTGTAACATTCGTCTCTGAAACCACATCTCGGTTGCTTCCAATTCTTAATTTGTTCAGTGACATTCCAAGATTCGCTGCCATACAGCAGAACAGGTTCTATGTAACATTTTAGCAGCCTCTTTCTGACATTAATTGAGAACGATTTATTGCAGAAGATATTTTTCATTTTATGAAATGCAGCTTTCGCTTTACCTATTCTGCTTTTAATCTCGGTCACACATTTTCCATCTGATGATTTGATTGTTCCCAGATATTTAAATTTATTGACAAGGCGGAATTATCTTCCTCTTTGATATAACCATTTCTTCCGTTTTCTTAAAATTCAATGAAAGTCCTTTCTTAGAACTCTCCATCTCCACAATATCCAGCAGTTGTTGTAAATCAGTTGCATTTTCAGCTATCAAAAACTTTATCGTCTGCATAACGCAAATTGCTTATACTGTATCCTCCAGCTCTTACGTACATACACACAAACATACACATACATACATACATACATACATACATACAGAACGATATATATATATATATATATATATATATATATATATATATAATGCTACCTACATATACACCGAATGATACATACATACATACAAAGACATACATATATTTGTATATACATACATACATTAAGATATATACATACATAATGAACACACATACATATATATACACATATATGGATGTGTAAATACATGCACACACAATCATACATACAAACATACATACGTACATACATACATAAGTACATACATACAAGTCAATACGTCCGGTGGCGTCCCATATACCTGACCTTTCACCTCAGAATACATAAGGAAAATAAGACGATAGTACTCACCACACATATAACTACTTACCGATCACTTTGAGGTAACCATCATAAAACAGACTGCCTTCACTGTTAGAGATGCTGCACTGGTAACAGGCAGTGTCTAGCTCCTTGTTCAGATTACTTATGTGTAGTTCTGTCCGATCTTTGGTGAAGAAGTACCTACTGGACATTTCTGGGCTGGTAAGGAATTCTGAACAAGGACAAATTAATACGTTTTCATCAAGTTTGTTAGTAAACCCAATATGTTGGACGGACGGGCGAGTTACAAGCCACTAGGGTCTCGTTAAGCATAGGTTATTTAATTTAATATGACAGGAAAACCACGCGGGAGCCACCCGTCATTACATCAACCGGAATAGAATGTAGATGTAGATGTAGATGGTCTTTAAATGAACACAGAACAATGTTTTAAATATTACTTGCGAATCCTTTACAATTACAAGACAGAGAAAGTAAAGATCCCTTTTTAAGCCTTTTTTAAGGTGCATCCGGCGTATTGGAAGAGCACCCATATTTTCAAAGATCAGTCGATACTAGGTGGGTAATGTGGACAGCATTACACCGGCTGCCTTTACTTCCCCAGGACTACATCCTGGTACCCATTTTAGGCAGGGTCAATCTTAAAATTCCACACAGCTAGCAGTGGAATTCGATCACAGTACGTAGAAATTACGAGTCGGACTCGCACGCCTAAGCCACGGACGCTGCACAAGACAGAGCAGATGGGCATATCCTGTGCAGAAACCAACAGACAATTACCAAACAGGCACTAATATGGAAAATACAAGGATTAGGGAGGCAAGGAGGTTAAAATGAAACCCTCAAAAGAAAGTAGATAAGAGAGGATAAAAGTAATAAACCGGATTCAATCTATGATATTGCACTAACTACACAAGATAAGAACGGAACGGAGGAATAGATTGCGAGTCATGTGTGACATATTATGTCACAACAGAACAATAAACCCTTTACAGGTATGCACCGTGGTGGCCTGTATAGAGCGGTGTAGGAGGGTGCATTATCATCATCCTGTATCACTGCAGGGTCAGCGGCTGCTGTTGACTGTCTGATCAGCTCACTCCACCTTTGATGGTCAGATGCCTTTACCCCTCTACTGAGGTACTGAGGCTGTAGTATTTTTTAGAGGCTGTTAGATCATTTTACGTCCGTAGCACTGCATTTTACGCCTTTCCACAGAAGTTAAAAGAGGTTCATAGTTACTATTGTACGTGAAAATTTTTTTTGTATCCAGAAGCCATGATCTGTTAACCCTTAGGCTCGGTATTATGGATAACGCAACCTTTCGGCCTTGGTTCCATGATAAATACCGTAAAATCTGGGATAAATGTGGCTTTTCTGCCTACCCCCGTGAACCCGGACCACAAGGAATTTGTCACCCGGTCACCGCGCAGTCCAGTTTAGCCAACTGCGCTAGCGAGCCGGGTGTACAGGATAATTACGCAACCTAACCTTGTCATTTGTGAGGTCAAAGTTTTCCCTATAATTATCTAGCACACTGGCAACTGTGAACCTCTTTTAAATGAGTGTGCAGCTTCCAAAAAATGAAGTAGAAGCCGATGTCCGCGAATGCCGATACATGATAATGAACACTAAAGAAGCACAAAGTGATCGGCAAATCGCGGCTCGCGAGCGGCATGGGGCTCTTTAGCGACCTGCGGGTGGCTCCTCCAGTCGGCCCCATATCGGTTTTGACTCCGAAAAACATGCTTTTTGACTCGTCTTGTCTTGTCCACAATTGCCTCACAGCATAGTGGGGAGTCGCAGTTTTCTATCCTTTGCCAGGTGTGTTGCACGTATTGTTGTTAGTCCGTGTTGCCTCAGGATCTCTAAAATATTGTCTATCCATCGTACTCTCGGTCTGCCTCTTGCTCTAGGGCAGTAGTGCTGTTCGTTGTATGCTCGTAGGGGCAGTTGGTCGGTTTGCATTCGCATCAAGTGGCCAAACCACTCTATTTGTTGCTTCTTTATGTTCTTGAAAAGATTTGTATTCTCCTGCTGGTGGATTTGTGTGTGGCTCTTTTGAGTAATGAGTTTACCGACCAGTGGGCTAGAGAATTGGCGTGCCGTGAAGAGAGCTACGTTCTGTAAAGGAGCTGATGATTGATGAAGATGATGATCCTTTACAGGAGGTCGTTTGAGACTCCACAATATCAAAGCATGCTGGGCAAACGAGCGTGCCCTAGCTCGGAAACTGATCATCTGTTAACATGCAACCCATAGCGGCAATGAGCATAAAATGGAGACAAGAAAAAAACTGAAGCAGCCCCAGCATTTTTTGACTGTTTGTGGTTTCACTTTGATATTTTACGTTCAGTAATTTGCCACTGCTTTTTGTCGGTTCTTAATGCTATTATCAAAACCAGCGCAAGGCATGTACTACCAAATCGCGTACAGCTGGGATCGAACCCAGCACTTCGGAATTACAAAGCGCATTCGTATCGCCTAATCCACAGACGTTGACGTTGAATATTTGAATACTTACAATACAGTATTCTTTTTCAAGTCAAGTCTAGAGGTATGTGGGTCCAAGTGGTTGAGCCTATGCTTCAAACCCTGAATGCCCTGAGTTCCATTCACGCTTGCCTCGTTCGGTTCACGAGTGCACCCTTTACGGAGCACCCTAACAACCATCGAGGTAGCTACGGAGTTTGTGCTTTGTGCAACACGCTCATCGGGTAACTAATTATATTGAGAGAGACCAAGCCATAAGGGATAACGCCTGGTGCAATAAAGAGGATCATGTCGACTTGAAATATTTGTTTAAACTCTTGTCCTGCCTGTCTGTGTGGCAGTCTGTCTGTCTGTGTGAGTCCAAGGCTCCATTTGGACAGAGAAAATATAAAGACCTACCGCCCCTTAAAAGAGTATGTCGAGGGTTTGCTGAAATCAGATTTGTTAGGTAGAACCGGGCAGGTATCGCAGGTTAGCTTTAAACCACACAACAGTATTTTTGAAGGCGAAAGAAGAAGAAGAAGAAGAAGACGAAGAAGAAGAAGAAGAAGAAGAAGAAGAAGAAGAAGAAGAAGAAGAAGAAGAAGAAGAAGAAGTAGAAGAAGAAGAAGAAGAAGAAGAAGAAGAAGAAGTAAGAGGAGGAAGAAGAAGAAGAAGAAGAAGAAGAAGAAGAAGAAGAAGAAGAAGAAGAAGAAGAAGAAGAAGAAGAAGAAGAAGTAAGAGGAGGAAGAAGAAGAAGAAGAAGAAGAAGAAGAAGAAGAAGAAGAAGAAGAAGAAGAAGAAGAAGAAGAAGAAGAAGAAGAAGAAGAAGAAGAAGAAGAAGAAGAAGAAGAAGTAAGAGGAGGAAGAAGAAGAAGAAGAAGAAGAAGAAGAAGAAGAAGAAGAAGAAGAAGAAGAAGAAGAAGAAGAAGAAGAAGAAGAAGAAGAAGAAGAAGAAGAAGAAGAAGAAGAAAAAGAAGAAACCCTTAATGCAATACAATACATAAATATATACTTACTCTCATCTAAAGGCTGGCCATTTCTGAACCAAATGGGTGTATCCAAATGTTGGAGATTGACAGCTCTGCCTTTACATTTGAGCACAACATCTGAACCAGCAGGTTTCACTGTAGTTTCCAGTCCACCATTTTCTACCTTTTGAGGTGGTGCTGAAGATAAAGTCAGGAGTATTTTTACCATTTACTCTTCGTCTTCTTCATCATCATCGATTTTAAGGGCTACATGGTCTCGAGGCATGGTGTCCGCCTCGAGTGCTAGAGGTTCCGAGTTCCATCCCCGGTAAGAGCTAGGATTTTTTCCACATGGACTTGGACTTCTTGTAATTCCCCCTGCTCTCTGGGTAGTGAGATCAGACGCCTGTATGCATTGTTGCGCACGAACACAATTCCTTGGCAGTTGGAAATTGAAAAGAATAGCCTAATGGCACTACCCAGGCAAAATTTAGAGTTAAAAATCTACCCAAAGTATTTCAGGATCTTAGCCGGTGCTACAGAGCCTGTGCACTGTGCTCAGACTTGAGTTAGAAGAAGAACGGAGCACTTATGGGTTACATCCGTGTACCATGATGTTGATCCTTTGTTCAAAACCGCGAAACATCTTCACAACTTTAATCAACGATTTTCATAACATAACATCATAATCATCATTTTTATAATAGATATCTTCTTACCCCATACCAAACCCTCGTAGCTGAGGAATGTGAAACAGAAACGGATTCACTAACCTTTACACACAGTTGCAGACCAAAGAGCGTAAATCAGAACACTGCAATTTATTTAGCGATAAATTTGAGGCATACGATGCAAAGACATGTCGTAATTGTAACAGACTTTGAAAGCATGCTGGGAAAGATGAAGGCACGGATGCTTCGAGCAGAGTGGCAAGCTTCACTGGAAAGGTTACTGGTAGTGATCATACTTTGGATCTTTTCTCCAGGCGATGCCAGCGTAGTGAGTAATGAACAGGCAGACAGATTGGCTAGATCTGCACCCCTTGGTGCTGAACTGATACACGACAAAGCAGATGTGGTCAAGACCCTTTGGGAACAAGCAATGGAATCAGCCGGCTCACTACACTTACAGGTAAGGCAAGACGGACATATAACCAGATTGTGACCGGTACCATCAGTATTGGAACTCTGCGCTGGCTGCTGAAGATGAGGACGGAGCACGCATGGGAATGCCCCCAGTGCTGTGATGTCAATTCTTGACTCAACTAAACTCAGCTCAACTTAACTGGAGGCATCTGAGATGTGGTTCTTGAGAAGAATGTTGCGAATAGCTTGGACTATCAGAATAACTAACAGTGATTGCCTGGAAATGGCTAATGAAAGTAGAACATTATATACAACAATGAGAAGGAGGCAAACAAAGTTCTTTGGTCATGTGATGAGAAAAGGAGCACTGGTAAATATCGTGACGAATGGAAAGATCACTGATAGAAAGGCAGAGGCAGACCAAGAGAAAAGATGGTGAATGGCTTATGATATTGGCATGGAGGAAGATCATCAGTGGAATAGATCCAGAACACCAAAGACCGAGATCTGTGGCGTTGCATGAACGCCTACGCCAGCTGATAATGCACATGATGATGATGATGATGATTAATTTTCAGAAAGAAAAAAAAAAAAACTGTATTGTCTCGCTCCCACGTCAGCTTAGCCTAAAACTGGCACCGGGTAATGTCTTCTGAAGGTAAATATGGGGGGGGGGGGGGGGTGTGGAGGCGTTAACTACTCACCCATCGAGTATCTGTTGGTAGATAGTAACACTGTATCTAATATCTTGTGTCCAATGGACCTGTGGCGGGAAAATCCTCGGTTACTTTTACTGAATCATTTCAAAGGTCTCGGAAATTCCCCTTCACTTTATATGTTTTTTTCCCTCCATGTGTGGATTCCGGGGCCCAGTTGTAGGGGAAACAAGAATGAACCAACTGCTGCCGAAGAAGCATGCCGTAAGGGGCGTTTCCTTCGAAGACGGAGTACACCTGCAGAGAGACGAGGATCCAGCAGTCTGCATACAGATAATCCAGATATGTAAAACAGACACGCACGATAGAGTCAAATTCTAGAAAAGTCCACATTGTGCAGCTGTTGATTTGTTGTAGCTGCGCCTATCGACGATGAATTGCAATTTTAGTGACGGACCAAATTTATTGTCACTTCAGATGATTGCCTTATGTATTTAATGCGTGTGTGTGCTAGTGACTTTGCCGAGACTGCAGTATCTTTCATTGTTTCCCCTACAAGAGATAATGACAGGCATTCTATGTAGCTTTTCAGGCACATGTAAGGAGCAGTTATGTGGTGACCCGTTGTCCGCAAAGTTGAAACTGCGATTTCCCCGTGTGGGGAAACAGGAATAGACCCACTGCCTTCCCAACCAGCATCGACTAATTCGAAGTTCATCTGACCCGGTGGCAAGGAACAACACATTGTACACAAATTAGCTAGTAAAACGGATGTGCACAAAGCCAAAGTCCAAATGGACGAGCAACCAGGACTTTCCGTCGCAGCATATGCCAGTAAACAAAGAAGAAGCAGAATTAGAAGAAGAAATTGCGGTTAATTAATTAACTGATTTTATGTTTTTACCGGTGACGTTGAGGGAGTTGCCGTGGCGGAGCGGCTAGACACGCGCCGCGGATTGGAAGGTCATGGGTTCGCTCCCTGGTGGAGCCGGATTTTTTTTCTCCCAAATGACCTTGGCTCCCAGGTCGACCCAGCCTTGAGTGGGTACCGTGTACAGCCCCGGGAAGTAAAGGCAGCCGGCGTGATGCTGACCACATCACTCATATTGTGCCGATTGGTCTATAAAATATAGGTCTAGCCCTATTTGCACTATAAGCCCTAAAGGTGCGGAAAAGGGTCCTTCACTTTACTTACTTACCTGTGACGTTGAGGATCACATTTTCTTTAACAGTCCCGTATCCGTTGGTTGCATCACAAGTAAATGTTCCAGCGTCTGACTCACGTACATCTGTTATAAACAGTCTTCTGCCGAATTCGACTTTGAATCTGCTATCTGTGATGGCCTGGTTACCTTGTTTCCAGGTGATCTTTGGGGTGGGGCTAGGAATAAAAGGTAAAGTTAGTTGCATGTCTTCTATAGGACGTTAACAAACTAATGCTAGCATTTGTGTTGTTGAGTGCTTGTTAATGTTAATGTTAGTTTCAGCTTCATAGCAAACGGGTCACCCCATAGTTGCTCGGCTCCTGTGCCAACGAAAAACACAGTGAATGTTTATCACAGTCCCTTGTGGAAAGACTGACGGACTGCTGTCTCAGCATATGCACTAGCATACACACGCAATGAAAACATACGGTAGTCATCAGAACAGTCCGACATTAGAAATGCAGTTCATCATTGATGGTAGCAGAGGTAGCCAACAAATCAGCAGTTGCATTCGCGATCAATATTAATCACATGAGGGCACCACCAATATTGTGACGACAAGCTACGCGCCATTTTCTGAAGCTACAGTTCAAAACACCACGTTGGTCACAGTCGAAAAACATTCCAAATAAAATCCGCCGCTCACGGTGTCACGCCATGCACTCAACTCAATAGCTGGGTGACTGCTTGTGTTTTACTAGGCGATTCTACGATCAGTATTTCTTTATTGCTTTCTTAACAATTGCAGATTGTGAAGAGGTAATATGGCCCACGTCAGTAGGCAAGGCGATGATGTTGCGGCAAAATCAGTATTTATACACACTTAGAGACAATCAGAGTGTGAGGATTATTGATAGTACCTGACCCGAACATTGAAAAGTGTTATCCATGTTGTCTCGACTTATTTTAAACCGTGGTTTTCTGTGCTATTAAGTAAAATATTTCCGTGTAATCTACTCAGGATCCTTGCCGGTGCTACAGAGTTCGTGAACTGCGCTGAGATTCTTCGGCTACAGTTAGAAATAGAACGGAGCACTTATGTGTTACTGCCCTTGTGCCATGATGCTGATCCGTTGTCTAAATATAAACCTATTGAAAGGTGTCAGCTTACAAATTGATACATACGGCTGGAAATCGTAAAACGCGGAGAAGTGTGGTCGTCCTCACCAGTCTGCAGGAAAAGTTATAGATGATGCTGCTGTCGATACTGTTGGTTGTTGTTGCTGATGATGTCGCTAGAATGATGATGATGTTGATAACGTTCCGAGGCCTCATTGTGCGGAAAAACAAGAATAGATCCACTGCCTTCCCAGCAAGCATGTCGTAGAAGTAGACTAACTGGGAACGTCCTTTGAAGTCGGAGTGCATCTGCCCGAGTGGCAAGGAACAACCAACTGCACACAAATAAGACAGTAAAACGGATGTACACGCAACACTCAGACCCTGGCACAAAGCCAAAGTCCGAATGGACGCACAACCAGGATTTTCCGCAGGAGTTTACAGCCGGTGAGCAGAGAAGAAGAAGTAGAAGAAGAAATGAATAACGAACAATGATAATGACTGTTGATGATGATCATGATGTTGATAATTACGACTGTGTTGTTTTTATTTTTGACAAGGAAGCGAATAATAAAACAGAAACAACTTACTATCCAGAAAAGAAACACTCCAGTATAGCCCGGCTCCCCAGAACTGCCTTGACGTTTCTGTTCGAATAAGCCAATTTTGGACCTCTGAAAACTAATTCGGTGAAATGACGTATATATCAATAATGCGGACATAAACAATACACTGCATAATTTATTGCCTGGCATATTTCGCTGTATCACGTCAGGGGCATTACTGCATAGTTAAATCAACATATAACGAAGCACAAAATGAATCCTTTTCTTGCTGAAATGCATAAATCACACTGTCGAGTTGCTGTGCATCTATAGCAAGAAATTCAAAATTAGTCACATGATTACCATGGTAACTTAAATTGATCACATGATATTTCTGTTTTCATAACACAGAAAAGTTTTTTTGAAACAGCCTCGACCACTTTTAGCAGTTGTCTTGTCAGTGTGTGGTCAATAATCCTAAAAGCACAATCTTTATCTACTACGTGTCCAGAGTCAATCAAATGACGTCATATTCTTGGTTGTTCTTGGTTCAGGATCGCCACTCAGCTGTGGGTAAAGCCATTTAGAGATGTATTCTGCCACCATCTGCCGCACTTATTAAATGTATATATAAAACTCCAGAACGACAGTTCATTGTCAGTTTTCTGAATGATGATTTTGGTTTGGTTTGCGTCAAGAACTGACGTCACAAAACTCTGGTCATTCTGATAAACGCCCCGTCTCCGTTTTCAACATCACTGTAGTTTCAATTAACTCATTGACTCTTTCTGTCCGAGACAGTCGTTAACTTTCGCTCATTCTATGATAAGGTTTTGAAATTATTAAATGGTTGGGTTTTCTGGAGTTACAGAAGAAACACTACCACAAGCGATTAGGCTTGAAAATCCGAGACAGGGAGTTAACGTAGTAATGTTGTTTAATGTTAAATTAAGAATCGCCTTCTTAAAACTCACTTTAGCGCTCCACACTTTGAAGATACAGACGAAGTCTTTGTCTGTGAAGTCTATGAAGGTTTTCAGATGAGAGAAGAGACATGTGCAGCTGCACTAGACTTAGAAGATGCTTACAACAGAGTACCATTTAAATACTTGGTGCACATACTCGTCCAACTGCAAAAATCTCACTTCATCACCCGCTGTGTCGTCGCAGCACTGTTTCAAAGACGGGCGATACTCAGGTGTGGTTCTTGGTGCTCAGAACCGATAACCGTCAGGCCAGGATTGACCGTATAGACATTTCACCCTTTCCTTCTGCGGCAAGGGTCGCCCAGATCACCTGGTCACTCCTAGCAGCACTATTCTCCTTAGACGGTGATGAACTTCGTGCGCCTCCATGCTGTTTGTTGGCTCCCAACGGACCTTTACACATCTAGTTTGCCATTCATCAGTTCACCACCAAGTACTGCAGAACCGGTTAGTCTCTCTACCTGTTCGTTTTCCCAAACACCTGTATGATCTGGAGAAAATATCCCAAGGACGCTAACTACGCGAGATCCATGAAGCATTTTGTCTTGAAAGTGGACACATAGTGCGTTATTTGGTTCTCAAAAAGTTAACCCGATTTACGGACCCTGCAGGTACCTGTATCACCCTCTACATCATAGTCATCTTCCACAGAACCAAAATAAAATGATTGCCTCTTTAATGTGTGTTCACCAGAATCATAATGTCTATAAATATTTTTAATAAAACACTTCATCCGAAAGAAACAAACATTATTTTATTATATTTAGAGTATGTCTCTAAACATCAAAGAAGATTGGCTAATAAACAGCATCTCGTCACGGAAATATTTTGGTCATATCAAGCGCCATGGCGGATTGGAAAAAAATAATAGCAGAAGGTATGGTACCAGGAAGGAGGGGCAGGAGCCGACCAACACTAAGATGGGTACAGGATATAATTGACTCCTTGAATATGAAAGTAGGTGGGGGAAAGGGGTAGGGGTGCAGTGGGGAGGGGGGCCGCCAAGGAACTTAAAAATACAAAAATATCTCAGTTCTACCTTCGGCACTTCTCCCTGCAGTTCTTCTTACTTGTAAACAGACACCTGTGGTGACTCAAAGAGACTCACAACACAGCCTCCCACAAACATTAATTATATACGGTGAGCTAACACCAAAAGAAAGCCAGCTCATAACACCCCACAACATAGGACAGGCCAGGCGACCCGCCGCGCCATAATGGAAAGGAAAGGAACTCTCGTCGTGCGGGGGGGGGGGGGGGGGGGGGGGGGGTTAGTTCGTGATAAGTTCCAATAATCTGTTACAGAGTATTTGTTAAAAAAATGTGACCTACTTTTATCCCTCTTTTGAACAGTCAGCCTGGCAGAGTTGTAGAGTCTAATGGAATCCCTGGCGGCTGCTACCTCTGGGGCCAGGGCGCAGATGTAAGAGGTGGCATCTGCTGGTTCCACGTATGAGAATCTCAGCACCCCTTTGTCAGACGATAATATTTCATGGAGTGAGGCGTATTTCAACAATGATGATATTTCAATAAAAATAATTTTTAGTGGTGATATATATTTCAGTTATGATGTATATATTTTAGTGATGGTACGTGTTGTTTGTAATAATACATATTTCAGTAACCATCCATCCATCCATTTATGAAAACAAAACAAAAAAATCGACCACGTTCAACATAACTGCGAGCATTTTCATCTATAATTGTAATCTAGTTTCTTTGTGCTAAGTATGCTGGCTAGGAATTGTTAAATGCAGCAAAACGAGTGGCTATAACTGGTACTATAATACCCGGTGAGGGTTGGGGTGGGGGGTGGGGAGGGAGGAGTGGGGGAACTGGTGTGCACGATTTATCAGCCCCCACGTGCGATTGAACTTTAGTGCTGATGGAATATTGTTGTAGTTGTGGGTGGGGGGGGGGGCGGAGGGGGAGTTGCTGTGCATGAGTACAAGAACTCTTGTGCCATTTAACTCAAGTGCTAATGACAAACTGTTGGTGGGGTGGCGAGGGTGGGCTAGTATGCACTAGTAACAGAACTCCCGTGCTATTGAACTCTAGTGCTGATGACAAACTGTTGATGGGGTGGCGAGGGCAGGGCTAGTATGCACTAGTAACAGAACTCCCGTGCTATTGAACTCTAGTGCTTAGAGAAGGTTGCTGCGTGTGAGGGTGAAAAAGTTTTGGGAGGGGATGGGGAGGGGCCGGGAATTTCAGTAACACAAGGGAGCTGAAAGGAGGTATTCACGTGTGGGTTCCTTGGCCTCATTGTAGGAAAAACAAGAATGGACTCACCGCCTATCCACAAGCATGTCGTAAGAGTCAACTAATTGTGAGCTTCCTTCGAAGTCGGAGTGTATCTGCCTGAAAGACAAGGAACCAACAGTCTGCATACATATGAGTCAGTTCTGCAAAATGGATGCATACGTGACACCCAGGTTCTGGAACGGGACTACAGTCAAGAAGTGGGCGAACAACCAGAACTGTCCGCCAGAGTTTACAGCTGATGAACGCGAAGAAGTAAAAAAAAAGAAGAAGAAAGGAGGTAGACCACCTGGCAGACCAGGAAGGCTCCAGCGTTATAATATCCAGCCAAACGTAACAACACTTAGAGTCATCATCGTCATCACAGTCATCACCATCATCATCATTATCACCATCATAACTTTCCACTTCTGCCGTTATGCATTGTGGGAAGGAAGTTTGATGGGCAGCACTGGCTGTTCTCATTCCGTGTCGCTGTAGAAGCTCTCTAATGTCATCAATTCATTTTCTCCTAAGTCGGTCTCTTTCTTTCACGTCAGCCATTTTCAAGTGTAGCGTCTGCGTTGGTAGCTGTTCTGGCTACATTCTTATTGAATGACCAAATCATTTGATCTTCAGTTTCTCACGGAATTTGCTGCATTGTGTTGTCCATACAGTGTATCAGATAATACCATTTCTAATTTTGTTTCGGATGTTCAAGCTGACGGTTCTTCTCAGGCATCTCATTTCACAGGTGTTTTGTTGGAGTCACTAGCTAGAAATCAGGTAATCTCCATTCAAACTTCATAGAAAACGGATCTACCCCCCCCTCCCCCACCCGACCCAGTTGCTCCACTCCTGTGGCAACGAAAACCACACAGACTGTCCCTCAGGGCCATTTGGGAACACACACACACACACACACACACACACACACACACACAATGTTATACGCGGCCGTCTCAGCAAAACCAATAGTATAAATACGCATTAAATGAAAAAGGAGAAGGCGAATCACGAGATGAATGAAGGTGAATGCCATCTGCAACAAGCAGCCCCACGGACTCAAAATTTCAACAATGCAGAAGATGAAGAAAAAGAAGAAGAAGAAGAACAAGAAGAAGAAGAAGAAGAAGAAAAAGACGAAGAAGAAGAAGAGGAAGAAGAAGAAGAAGAAGAAGAAGAAGAAGAAGAAGAAGAAGAAGAAGAAGAAGAAGAAGAAGAAGAAGAAGAAGAAGAAGAAGAAGAAGAAGAAGAAGAAGAAGAAGAAGAAAGAAGAAGAAGAAGAAGAAGAAGAAGAAGAAGAAGAAGAAGAAGAAGAAGAAGAAGAAGAAGAAGAAGAAGAAGAAGAAGAAGAAGAAGAAGCAGAAGCAGCAAAATAAGAAGAACAAGAAGATTTGGTTTTTTTAACTTTATAATTTGAGTATTTGTACAAAAAAAAATGTGACTTTCCTACTTTAAATATTTGTATCGGTCTTTCGTCGAGTGCCTGCACAAACTAATCATATGTGTTGAGAATGCGTTTCGTAATTCTGACGTGCCTGATTAGAGCCCAGTTGCGGGGCAATTGGCAGCAGACCGCCCTACTTTGGTTTTGACAGTGGTATTGAGAGTCGACTTTAAGTGTCTGTATCGATTCTGTCTTTCTTATATTGATTATTTAAGGCGATTCCGTCTATCTTACATTGATTATCTAAGGCCATTCTGTCTATCTTACATTGAGTCTTTTTGTCGATTCTGTCTTACCTTGAGTGTCTGTCAGTCTTCGGGATTATGTTTGTCCTTCCTTGAGTGTCTGTGCCGATTCTGTCTGGCTGTTTTACCTCGAGTGTATGTGTGTCGATTCTGTCTGCCTGTCTTACTTTGAGTGTCTGTGCCGATTGTGTCTGCCTGTCTTACTTTGAGTCTCTGTAACGATTCTGTCTGCTTGTCTTACTTTGAGTGTCTGTGCCGATTGTGTCTGCCTGTCTTACTTTGAGTGTCTGTGACGATTCTGTCTGCTTGTCTTACATTGAGTCTCTGAGTCGATGTTAACTGTCTTACCTCGAGTGTCTGTGTCGATTCTGTCTACCTGTCTTACTTTGAGTGTCTGTGTCGATTCTGTCTGCCTGTCTTACCTTGAGTGTCTGTGTCGATTCTATCTGCCTGTCTTACTTTGAGTGTCTGTGTCGATTCTGTCTGCCTGTCTTACCTTGAGTGTCTGTGTCGATTCTGTCTGCCTGTCTTACCTTGAGTGTCTGTGTCGATTCTATCTGCCTGTCTTACTTTGAGTGTCTGTACCGATTCTATCTGCCTGTCTTACTTTGAGTGCCTGTGTCGATTCTGTCTGCCTGACTTACCTTGAGTATCTGTGCCTAATCTGTCAGTTAGCTGCAACTGACTGGTCTCAGTAAGCAGATACCATCTCTTGGTGTACTCAGGGACAGTCGGAAGTGTGTCAGCACAGGCGAAGCTCTGCGGTTCACCTTCAATGGCCACATAGCTCTGGTTAACTGGAACGCCAGAGGGCACTACAACAAACAAAACAAATCATTAAGGGATCCACACACACACACACACGCACACACACACACACACATACACAAGTTAGCTGCTTATCAGCTAAATTTGGAGTTTACAATCTATATAACGTATTTTAGGATCCTCGCCGGTGCTACATAGCCTGTGCACTGTGCTGAGCTTCTTCGGACTCAGACTTGAGTTAGAAGAAGAACGGGGCACTTATGAGTTACTACCGATATGCCATGATGTTGATCCGTTGCTCAAAACCTCAAACCATACCTGCGCAATGCTGACGACACCGTCTTGATAGCCACATGTCAGAAAGAGCTATATGAACTGGTATCTCCGTGTGGGTTCCGGGGTCCTGTTATAGGGAAAACAAGAATAGACCAACTGCCTACCCAAATGCATGTCGTAAGAGTCGACTTTTAGGAGCTTTTTTCGAAGTCGGAGTGTATCTGCCTTAGAGGCAAGGAACCAGTAGTCTGCATACAAATGAGTCAGATCTGTAAAACTGATGCACACGCAACATTCAGGCTCTGTAACAGGGTTGCAGTCCAGAAGTGGACGAACAACCAGAACTTTAAGCAAGAGTTTTCAGCTGGTAAACGCAAAGAAGAAAAAGATATGAATTGATAGATATGGTGATGGTAGAGAGCGATAAACTTGGCCTCAGTTTGAATAATGAAAAGACAGAAGTAATGGTTATTTCCAAGAAAAGAATTGTGTATAAATGTATAATAAAAGTCTAAGGCTTTATTTTATGACAAGTACATAAATTTAAGGCTCTTGTGGGACGTAGATGGGTTGAGGTTAGGGCCAGTTCTAGATGTTTTTGGAACGTTAAAATGCATCAGAAAGCTGATAAACCCAGTTTTACCACACTCTAAAATGTTGGATTGTCCTGTGGTGTCATTTGGGGTAAGATATTAATAAAGAACCCGTTTCTGTCATTGGTACATATGGGATTCTTCTTCTTCTTCGGTTCGCTTGACAAATATCATCTGTATCTGCAATGGTGTCTTTAGTGTAAACTTCACTGTATGTTGTAATTCACTCAGCGACCCGTCAAGTTTGGCTTGCACCGGTGCTTCTCTTGGGCGGACGTTTGTCTTTGATATGTTGTGTTTGGGACAGTCTTGGAGGACGTTATCTGTTGTCTCAGATGCTAATCCACATGTGCACATGGCTGATTTGACAATCTTCAATTGTGTGTACATGTGGCTGAGAAGTCGATTGTGACCTGTTCTAAGGCGTAGAATAATGACTTGCTCTGGTCATTCCAGTATACTGTAATCTTCTATTGCCGGTTTTTGTGGCTTTCTGAGATGTATTTCTTGAAAATAATGATGACCCTGTCATTATCCTCATTGCACATCCATCTTTATTACATTCTTTCACAGCGTGTGGCGACTGATAACACCAGTTCTGTTTTGGTTTACAGTCATTCTTTGGCTGCCTGTTTAGTGTTTATGTTTGGTGACACTTCTTTTGACCTGAAATTCTGGTAGTCTTTTGAGTGTTGCCGATTCAATGTCGTCTCCTAAATAATCTGTTCGTAGTCTCTGAGACAAGATGCTATTTACTAGTCAGTCTTATTTGGTGTTAAGATCTTTTAGGATGCCAGTATTTCCACAAACACACACAGAGACAGACAGAAACTTACAAGCTTGAGGAGGCTTCTCAAAGATAAGTGGAACCTTCACGGACAGGGAGGTGCCATATTTGTTCTTGGCAAAACACTGAAACATGCCATCCTCCCGGTCGCTGAACTCTGTAAAGAGTAGACTCCCATTCTTGAAATCTTTTATGTAGGGGTCAGTGTCATCCAAGAGTTTATCATCCTTCAGCCAACGGTATCTGGTCAACGGAAGAATTAATTTTATCTCGGTTAATTCACGGACAGTTTGGCAATTAATGAAGGATTATTTGGAAGCTGCAGTATGTGGTTTTATAGACGAATGATGAGAATATCCTGGACAGACAAAATGAGTAATGAAGATGTCTTGAAAGAAACTGACTTACGAAGGAGAGAGAACTGATTACCCACCCAAGAAAGAGACATTCTACATTCTTTGGTCATGTGATGAGCAGGAGAAAACTGGAGTACACCATGACCGTAGAAAAGTTGGAGGAGAGGCAAAGGGAGACTTGAGAGAAAGATGCTTGATATTTGGACATCATGGTATGGAGGATCATCTTTTTCAGAATTGATTGAAAGTACACGAGAAAAAAAGGTTGCGGATAGACATGACAACCAACATCAAACGGCATGGACTTTAAGGAGAAGAATAAGAATTTATGTTAGTTTATTAAACTACAGTTGAAATAATTCAAAACAAATGCCCGATGAAAATGTTGAACATAAAAAGGATGCATAACAAGAAATATGTCTGGACAGCCAGTGGTATAAGACAAAGGAGATTGGCTACATTGAACACGTCAGGAGAAGAAAGTAGCAGAAAATTATCAAACAGGCACAAAAATGGGAAATACAGGGATTGACGAAGCTAGGATGCCAAACACGAAGATTCATAAAAGAGGCCAGCGGCCCTGGACTGTAATACGTCCATGATATTGAATTAATTGCACAGGATAGCACGATTGGGAGAACAGACAGTGAGCCCTTTGTGACATATCGTGGAACAGCAGGACAATGATGATGATGATTATTTGCGTGTCCTTTACAGGAAGTTGTAGAACTAATCCTTGCATTTTCCCCCTGTTTGTGGCTTTACTATGCAATTTTAAGTTCAGCAGTTTGTTAGTTTTCTCCATTTATGGACTGAAAGGATGTAGTTTTGTAGCCCAGCTACTTAATTGAGTACATGGCGCGACAATGTGAGCTGCGGATTTCGTTGGAAATGTTTTCGACTTTGACCAGCGAGGTGCTGTGAAGTATAGATTCAGAAAATGGTGGGTGACCTATGCCACAGAATTGGTGGTGCCGTATGCGATTTAAATTAATAAAGCGTTTATATCTGCTACTACCGTCGATAATGAACTGCATTTATAGTGTCCGCCTGTTTGTGTTAGCACCTCTGATTGCTACCTTATGCTTTAATGCCTGTGTGGGCTAGTTGGTGTACTGAACTGCAATCTGTGTTTTTCCACAAGGGATAATGATATACATTATGTGTGTTTTTCATTGGCACAAGAGCTAATGTAATTAATGTGGAGCTTTGGGAGAAAAACTAAACAAGTTCCAGTGGACCAATAGGTGAAGAAAAAACCTTTGCGTTGGAAACCCTAGCGTTGGACAGGACATATACTGAGAAAACCTGAGACCAAAATAACTAGAATGTCTTTGCAATGAAACCCACAGGGGCATAGAAATAAAGGAAGACGGTAAAACACAAGGAGAAGGGAGCTAGAGGGCGAAGTTAACAAGATGGGGAGGACAAGGGGAGAGCTGCAGGCGATAGAGAGGGATAGAACCACTTGTTCGCGTGAGTTGGTTGATGGCCTATGTTCCATTAGGGGTTTGAAAGGTAGAAGAAAAAGACAGGACCGAAGCAACTATGGGGTGACCTGTTTGCTATGAAGCTGAAGCTAAGATCAGCAGATTACCAGGTGCATACATACATATAAATGTTCACAGATACGTACTCAATCTCTGGGTGTCCATCAGCCATACACGAGAACCAGTAGTGTTTCTTCTGGTACTCCATGACAATCACTCGTTGCGGGGAATACGGGAATCGTATATGAGGTGGCATCTCCTTCACTGTATTCATGGAATAAAAGATGAAGAATAAGATGGATTTGGCCCCTTTGGCATACACTACATACTATTATATATATATATAAATATATACGCACACACATAGCCCGGCTTGCTTGCGTAGTTGGTTGAACCAGACTTCGCGCGGATCGGATGACGAACTCCTTGTGGTCCAGGTTCACGCCCGGGGGTAGGCAGAAAAGCCACATTTCTTCCAGAGTCACGGTAATTAAGGCCGAAGATTTGCGATATCTATAGTACTGAGCCAAAGGGTTAACAACTCATAGTTTCTGAATACTTGCAAATATATATATATATATATATATATATATATATATATATATATATATATATATATATATATATATATATATATATATATATATATATATATATATATATATATATATATATATATATATATATTGTAATGAGCAGATTGACAGTTTAGCTGCTGCCGCTCCTCAGATCGGGGAGCTACTTGTGATAAAATGGACTTGGGGAAGGCTCTCTGTGATCAGATGGAAAGTACACTAGAATAGTCAGAGAATCAATACGCTGGAAAACTAATTCAACTGGTGGGGCCAGGGGCGGGTAGAAGTTTTGGGATATATTCAACACTAATTGGGAAACAAAGGCGAAATTTTATCAGTTTACAGCTGGTATTGTTAGCGTGTCGACTCTTCTATGGTTAATGAAGAGGGGGAGAGAGCACCTATGGGAACGTCCCGACTGCTGTGATGTCAATTTTTTAATTGATCGATTGATTCCTTCTTTTCATACTAAAATTGTATCACAGTGATAAGGTCAATAGGAGTAACTGTAGTGGAGCTGATGTCATCATCATCATCATCTTTATCATCGTCATCATCATGTCTTGACGGTTAAGTTTCGGAATTTTACACGATTACCAGAACCGATGAGTGAACTAGATATGGTCAGTGCCTTTGCTTCGTCCCATCCATATGACCAAGCCATCTCTTTCAAAACAATGTTTTTCCTTAGCGAATTTACATCGGGTGTTTCACTCACTGGGGAATCCAGTGTTTCGTTCATAACTCGCACACTCATGAAGATATGGCAACGAAATTAGGGAGTGGATATACCTCCATGCATTCCAAGTCGGGTGACATCATAACAGGTGCTTTGAAATGGCCACACTGGCGTCCAGGCAAAGAAACATCTAGTAGCCTTGAGTAGCGCCCCTTTATCAGCTGCGACCTTCCCAAGCAGTGACCATTGACGTACTGGGACGGACTTTCCACAACATGGAACGCCGCGTCGAATTTATTTTAAATTGCATTCAACTTCTTTTTCAATTCTTTGGTGGTTCTCCATCTTTCGCTGGCAGAAAGGCAAGATGATAGTGGGAACCATCAGCTACTAAAAAAAGTTATCAGCAAATTATCCTTTTGCACATCTGACAAGTCCATAAGCGCTCTGATCCCATCTTCAGTATACCCCCCAGTGTGTGGCGACTGATAAAACCAGTTCTGTGTTGGTTTACTGTTCTTCTTTAGCTACTTGTATAGTATTTATGTTCGGCATCACCTCTTTTGACCTGAAGTTCTTGTAGTCTTTTGAGTGTTACCGATTCAACGTCGTGTCTTGGATCATCATATCTTCCTGCCTCTTTCAGAGCATTAATTAGGAATGTTGACCCGACCCAATGCTTCTCCTGTACCTATCGTATCCCAGCCAGCAAGCCAGTAGAACTGATGATTGTAGTTTGGTCTGAAAGCTGTGTATCTGGGAGCTCCATATTTCAAGTCTTTTAAAGTCTGCTGTAGCTTTGCCTATGCGTATCATTATTTCCTTCGTTGTGTCCACCTGAGAGTCAAATCTGCTACCGAAATAGGTGAAATGGTTTGTGAAATGGTCTGTGGAATGGTCTGAGAAATGGTCTGTGAAATGGTCTGTGGAATGGTCCGTGAAATGGTCTATGAAATGGTCTGTGGAATGGTCTGTGAAATGGTCTGTGGAATGGTCTATGGAATTGTCTGTGGAATGGTCTGTAAAATGGTCTGTGGAATGGTCTGTGGAATTGTCTGTGGAATGGTCTGTAAAATGGTCTGTGGAATGGCCTGTGGAATTGTCTGAGGAATGGTCTGTTAATACCAGAATGATGTAAGTTCTAATTAGAAATCTTTGGAAATTGAACGCGCTATCTCAGATCTTCGTTGTTGGTCTGCCGTCCAGACTGAGATATGTTATATCTAAGGCGGATACACTTTCAGGTTTCAGACCAACGAGAAGAAACTAACTCATCACTTAATCCAAGCACAGTACTAATTTCGGACTCTATATTCATCGCAGGCTGTTGTTAAATTAACTCTCAGAGGATGGGAGAATAGATCAGGAAATAAAAGCAATATGCCAAGGAGGCAGTTTATGTATATGGTTTTTGGTACTGGCGCCTTGAGGGTTCTCACCGGGTATTAGTCGCTGGTTGTGCGGTCCTAGTGGGGTTCAACTTCACTCACTCACTCACTCACTAACTCACTCACTTACTCTTAACTCACTCGCTCACTCCACTCACTTCACTCACTCACTCACTCACTCACTCACTCACTCACTCACTCACTCACTCACTCACTCACTCACTCACTCACTCACTCACTCACTCACTCACTCACTCTTTTACTCTTAACTCACTCACTCACTCCACTCACTTCACTCACTCACTCACTCACTCACTCACTCACTCACTCACTCACTCACTCACTCACTCACTCACTCACTCACTCACTCACTCACTCACTCACTCACTCACTCACTCACTCACTCACTCACTCACTCACTCACTCACTCACTCACTCACTCACTCACTCACTCACTCACTCACTCACTCACTCACACACTCACTCACTCACTCACTCATTCTCTCTCACTCACTCACTCTTACTCACTCACTCACTCACTCACTCACGGACTGACTGACTGACTGACTGACTGACTCACTCACTCACTCACTCACTCACTCACTCACTCACTCACTCACTCACTCACTCACTCACTCACTCACTCACTCACTCACTCACTCACTCACTCACTCACTCACTCACTCACTCACTCACTCACTCACTCACTCACTCACTCACTCACTCACTCACTCACCCACCCACTCACTCACTCACTCACTCACTCACTCACTCACTCACTCACTCACTCACTCACTCCCACTCACTCACTCACTCACTCACTCACTCACTCACTCACTCCCACTCACTCACTCACTCACTCACTCACTCACTACTCTCACTCAATCACTCACTTACCCGCCCACTCACTCACTCACTCACTCACCCATCCATCCACCCACCCACTCACTCAATTCTCACTCCCTCACTCACTCCCTTACTAACTCACTCACTCATTCCCTCACTCACTCACTCACTCACTCACTCACTCACTCACTCACTCACTCACTCACTCACTCACTCACTCACTCACTCACTCACTCACTCACTCACTCACTCACTCAGTCACTCACTCACTCACTCACCCCCTCACTCACTCACTCACTCACTCACTCACTCACTCACTCACTCACTCACTCACTCACTCACTCACTCACTCACTCACTCACTCACTCACTCACTCACTCACTCACTCACTCACTCACTAACTCACTCACTCACTTATCCACCCACCCACCCACTCACTCACTCACTCACCCACCCACTAACTCACTCACTCACTTACTCACTTGATTTTCAAGCAACACCGTGCTCCTAGTACCAAATTTGCACAATATCAAGGGCTAACCTACGTAAAATTAACAAAAGCTCCTCTTCAGGCTATAAAGAGTTAAATTAATTGCATACAACGCAAGAGTTAACTAACCTGACGACAGAGGTGACAATGAAGGGTATGCGAAAATACTGTCTGTATCCGATATTCTTCGGTCGGGGGCTGAAGTCTCTGTAGATTTAGACGTGGTCGCTTCGTTTGAGCCGATGATTGCTGCAGATCGTATAGGATCTTCATGAGGCAGGGCCGTGGTACTGTTCTTTAAGACCCTGTTCAACCTCGTCTCCGCAGGCATGTCCTCCTTAACATCATCATCGTTTGCGACATAAGGGGCTGGAGGGTAGCTGGGTTTCTCCCGCTGAAGTTCGGGCTCAAAGTCGGCCAGGACCTGATCCCTAATAAAGTTGATTGTGTGATTGATATGAAAACCACGAATTTCTGCAAAGAGAAAAATCACATTGCATTTTAAACTGGATATTGCTTTTCTTTTCCTTCGTCTTCTTTGCATTTTCACCGGCTGTAAACTCCTACGGAAAGTTTTGGTTGCTGGTCCGCTTCCGGACTTTGGTCTTGTTCCAGAATTAAAGTTTTGTGTGCACATCCGTTTTACAGATCTGGTTTATTTATATGCAGACTGTTAGTTTCTCGCACTCCAATTAAAAAAAAAACTTAAAAGACATGCTCGTTAGAAGGCAGTGAGTCTGTTCGTCCCCCGACACAAATCCCAATTGGGGTTCCAGGACCCATACAGTAAAGGTGGAGGATTAAAAAAAAAAAAACTTTTCACCAAAATGTAAAGTAAAACTATTAGATTTCCCATAATATCACGAATGAAACAACGAAGGTTGCGGTTTAAAAGACTTCATCAACATTAAACAACAGACAACAGTGAAATCTACATGCAAATAAACTACAGGAAGTAACTTATAAAGAAAGAATAAAGGAAGACCGAGAGAACAGATGCTGGACAGTTTGGCATTATCTCATGGAGAACCATCCGTGTCCAAGCTGATTAAAAGTACACGAGAGAGAAGGTTGTGAATCGCCTTGACCACCAACGCCACACGGCATGGACTATGGAGGATCATCTGTGGCAAAGCTAATTCAAAGAACACAAGACAGAAGGCTGTGGATATACATGACTACCAACGCCACACGGCATGGACTATGGAAGATCATCTGTGGCAAAGCTGATTAAAAGTACACGAGACAGAAGGCTGTGGAAATACATGACTACCAACGCCACACGGCATGGACTATGGAAGATCATCTGTGGCAAAGCTAATTAAAAGAACACGAGACAGAAGGTTGTGGATATACATGACTACCAACGCCATACGGCATGGACTATGGGAGATCATCTGTGGCAAAGCTAATTAAAAGAACACGAGACAGAAGGCTGTGGATATACATGACTACCAACGCTACACGACATGGACTATGAGAGATCATCTGTGGCGAAGCTGATTAAAAGTACACGAGACAGAAGGTTGTGGATAGACATGACTACCAACGCGACACGGCATGGACTATGGAAGATCATTTGTGGCAAAGCTGATTAAAAGTACGCGAGACAGAAGGCTGTGGATATACATGATTACCAAAGCCACAGAGTATGGACTTTAGGAAGACGTGTGTGTTTAATAGAGTTTAAAAACAAAGTTTTGCTGACACTGAACAAAACGAACATAAAAGACTCCTAGAGGGCACTCACAGTAGAGTGACCAACGACAGGAAGCGACCAAGGTCAGGTTGAAAGGTTGTGGTCAAAGTGAGTGACTTACAAACAAATAACAGGAAGAGAATTACCCCCACCAGGGCAGTCCTAACGCATGGGGCCGCTAGGCACTTGCCCGGGGCCTCTACCACCCTATTGACCCCAAGGTGATCTGTGAATGTGAAGTGACTTGCCATATCAGAAGTACGTAGTAATTTCCGGACGTCCATTGTGCCGTTAAAACTACCCTGCCCCTACGCAAAAGAAGATAGTATAGATAGGTTAGTTCGATGTTAGTCTCCACAGACCCCGCCCATATACACACTAGCTAACTTCTGATTGGTAGTTCCTCAGCCCCGTAAACTTACGGCGGTGTTCCACAATGCCGTTGATATCATGTGTTATATATTTCATCACGCCAGTGCTTTTAACACTCCCAAAACATGGAGAAACTGGGTCTAACACAACTCCCCTAGAGAGTGCTGCAACCTATGTCACAGGCATTCTCTTTCTCGGAATGAAAGCGTAAATGCAAGCCATCGCAGAAAACAAACAAGAGAGCGGGACACACCCGTAATCTTCAGCAAAGTCGACCAGCTCAATAAACTTGTGAATGAAAAGTGACCTACACTATTTGCGGAGACTAACGTCGAACTAACCTCTACATATTATTGGCAGACGATGTCTCACACACACACACACACACACATACACACACACACACACACACACACACACTCACACACACACAGACAGACAGACAGACAGACAGACAGACAGACAGACAGACAGACAGACAGACAGACAGACAGACAGACAGACAGACAGACAGACACACACACGCATATACATATGACCGACTCAAAACAGCAGTGAAATTTTTTTTTTAAACGCAGCCATGTCTGTTACAGATTTATCACTATTGTAATTAATGCGCCACCATTGAAAGAACCAGTGTCGACGTACACCAAATCTAATTGTATTTGCCGGTTAAAATGCACATGTAATGCAGTATATGTGGGCAGAACTAAGTGATGACTAGAGAAACGGGTCGCTGAGCATATTCCACTAGGGAAGAAGGGGGGGTTGGGGGGGGGGGGGGGGGGCAAAGCAGAGTAGTGAGAATAACAATAACTCAACAACTACAATTCAGGTGACTGATTAAAAAAAAAAAAAAAAAAAAAAAAAAAAAAAAATATATATATATATATATATATATATATTGGTTATATCAAGCGCGCACGACGAATTGGAAAAAATTATAACAGACGGCATGGTACCAGGAAGGATGGGCAGGGGCCGACCGACACGAAGATGGGCACAGGATATAAGTGACTCCTTGAGTATGAAAGTGCATGAGGCGGGAGAACTGGCGAGAGACCGAGTTTCCTTCAGGCAAATTGATGAGAGCGACGTTCTGCAAAGGACCTGCTACGTGATAATGATCATGGTCAGAAAAAAATAATAGTGGTGCTGCCGAGTGTGACTAACAAGACCCGCTCGCGTTAAAAAGTGTCTTAATCAATTAGTGCATAGGTTTTCAGGACCATTGTTGCAATGATATATATATATTGTCGTGGAATGATAAGCCATTACGCATCGGTCCGTAAGACTGGTGGCCTGACTTACCTGTAATCGGCAAAAATTCAAACTTGGACTCGCCCGGAAAGATATAGTCCCTTATATCTATATATATAGGCCTTTATTAGACAACATTATTATGTCTACATTTTCTGGTTGCTTTAACTAAACTCCACTTTTAAATGTATATATCTTCGATATATATTAGAGGAGTTATTTGAGGTTTCTTAGAAACCGATGCACTCCTTGCCCATGTATACTAGGGACTTCTTTTTTTACCAACGCCTGAAGTGCGTAAGTGACGCCATTCTTTCTTGCCGGTTCCAAGCGTCCAGACGTGTCAATCTATGCCTGTATAATTTCAATTTCACAAGGCGATCTGGAATGTCTCAGTTTTTGCATATGCTTAGTATAAATCCTTTGTGAGGAGCTGGCAGAAGTTTCACAGTCCAACCAACACCCACCAACCATAAATAAACCATAAACTAACCACAAATCAACCACCCACCAGCTGACACCTGTGAAGGTTCCTGACATCATCAATATGTGGGAGCTTATAACTCAAACAGCCTACCAGTGCTAGAGCTTAGTGTGGCTCAAAGACATTGTGTGTCCTAAATGGTGATAGAGACTTGCTAAGTACCAGTACAGTGCTGTGTCCTCTATGGTGAGGTACTCTCTTACTACTTGATCCAGTGGAGCATAATTCCCAGAGTCAAAGACAGTCGAATCATCCGGAGCTGAGGGAGGCATCATAGACAGAAAGAAGAGAAGCTAAGTTTGATGCCTGATTTGCTTTGTGCCTCACAGCTCCTATGTTTCCCAATGATGACATAGAGTCATCTCCAAGACCTGATGTCTGTGTAGTATCTTTGGTATCTAGACATTATATTCTGAGATTCTTCCACTGATAGCTGGAATTCACTTCAATATTATATGTATATACAGTATACTGATTACATGCATTCATTTTCATGGCTGACTTAGGTTTCTCTATGTCACCTTTTTAAGTGTTTAGCAGTTGTGTGTACATGTACCTTCATTATATGTGTTAACATGGTTATGATAATGAACTATCATAACCTGGGGGCTTTCTTTAGTAAGTAGTGGGGGTGTCCAGCCAAGTGTGCCTAGAAATATTGTATTCATATACTGACATATTTTGTAGTGCCAATACTTGAGTTGCCCTACTCCAGAGATAAGTTGAGCGTATATTGGCCACGGGGAATCCCTTAGACCAATACGAGCCAAACGACTCAACATAATTATCTCTGAGTGCTGTTGGTTCTGAAGGAGAAATCCTTACATTAGGCACGCGACAGGAGTGATATGTGACAGAACAACATATCCCCAAAAATCTGTGGTATCGTCGTGGGATTGTTTGTGTACACTGTTCAATCTTGTTCAATTTGCTGGTGATCTTGGCCAGGAGTTGTTCAGTGTTTGTATTTTGTTAACACAGTTGTGACCATTCTGGGTCAGTTCTTAGAGTATACTCCTAGGAGTGATTTGTAATCATTGTGGTGTTTTGTGGTGTTCAAGTACATTGGGTTAGGTAC